CCACATAACATAGATATATAATCCTCCACAGATGTATACCTTAGCTATAGGCTGAGGAGAATAAGTAATTTTGGAATAGAGCAAATTTATTGAATTCTTGGTCTCCAAATATGTAACTTTCAAACAAATTTATCCTATGTGTCAGGTCAAAAATTCTTTAATACTAAACAGAAATTTTCCTAAGGGCTCACTTATTTTTTAAGCTAAATAAACCTGCCAATGGCTATATTCAAATTGCACATGGTATAGAGTCTTAATGTAAAATCTTGATTGATATTGGATTTGACACACCTGCTACATAGCTGCAAATGCTTCAGATCAAGAAGTACTGGAACCTTTGGGGCTTTTGATCAGAGTTTGCACTTTTTTTCTCTCTAAAACAGCTGAATATGATGGCAAAGAGTCCAATTTGAAAAATTACTTTCCCCATCTCTAGTTTTATTTAATTATATTTCATTAAAACTATTTTTTACTGGACTTTTCTTCATCCTTCTTTCTTCTTCTAGGACTAGGGCTTGAACTCGTAACCTCATATTTTCACTTGGCTTTTTTGCTTAAGGCTGACACTCTACCCACTAAATCACACTTTCACTTCTGACTTTTTGCTGCTTAATTGGAGATAAGAGTGTTGGGAATGTTCAACCCCTGATGCTCAGATCACAGCCTCCAAGTAATTAGGCTAGAGTCCCTGGTTCCTAGCTTCCACTGATTGGTTGGTTTTAAATGCATTTTTGTTTCTGAAGCAGCTTGAGAAACTTTTCTGTTTCCCCAAGCCTCTTTGCTCCTAGATTTCTCTTTATTCTTTTATCCTTTTTGTGTTTCCTGAGATCTGTTGTATAGCTGAGAGGCAGGCTTGGGCACTGTGGAGGTGGTGGTCTTCTTTGTGCTCAGTTTCTTTGCTCTGCTTAGCTGAAGCTGACATCTGACACTAATCAAGGTCTAAGGGGAAAAGATCTCTGAGGTCAAAGCCAACAGATTTCTTGGCTCTGATATGTCTTTCAGCTTCACTCTCTCTTTAATGCGGAGCTTCTTAAGAGGAACACTGCTGGAATGATGGATCTGGGGACAGTTAGCCTGGGCATTTTAACTATTTACCCATATCCCTTGGCTCTGCTCACTCTCTGGATACCAATGGGACCCCAGCATCTTCCCCAGGCCATCAGAAAGGTATCTGGACATTGCCAAATGTCCCCAGGGAACAGAATCAGCCCTGGCTGTGAACAAATGATACAGGGAACTAGAGGGTAAGAAACTCACAAGTGTGCGGTATATCACAGCAAATTAATTTTCATAGCTAATTTTTATTAGTTTTTTTGCATTACAACTACAAATCTGGAGGATTAGCTCAATCAGGAAAAAGATTTTTTTTTATCACTTAACCGGTTTTTCAGACTTTCAGAAAACAAGCTCTTAAGGAGAATGTAAGATTCAAGTCTACATTTTCATAAATCTAGCCAAGAGCTTATTATATACCAGGTAGAGAAGATGAATAACAATGTATAGTTTTAGATGTGATCAAGGCACCTCTGGTACCATTTATACATGGCTAGCAATAAACCCCAGTCCTGATCTCTCAGGATTCTCTGCCAGAACTTCAGGCTTCTCCCTCCTCTCGCTCCTCATCAAGACTGAAGTCGCAGAAAGGAAGAGCTTTATTATTCACTGGAAATGTCTCCTAAATGGCAAGATGACAGGAGAAGTGGAACATGGTTGTGCCCAGCATGTTACCTACAAGACCATATGAAATTAGCAGGTAGAAGCAATGGTCCAGATACCAGAGAAGCCCAGGCACCAGCTACTGTCACTTAAGCTTCCTCTGCAAATGTACATCAGAGGTCACAGCTCTAAGGCCATGTCTTAAAATGGATCATATTCCTTGAGCAGATGTGCCTGGTATGTAGGCTCTGGAATGGGTAAAGAGGAGGGGTGAGAGAAAGGCAATCATACATCTGACCTGCAGGAAGCTTTATGATGGATGGATGGATGGATGGATGGATGGATGGATGGATGGGAAAACAAATGAACTAATGGATGTTTGGGGGGGGAAAAAGCAACCTAAATCTGATAAGAAGTGTGGCACTGATAAAGTTGTGATGGGTCATCGTGCCAGGTTTGTTGGGCTCAGCACTAGAATTTGAGGTGTTGTGGGCTCAGTAGGTGGGCTCCTGGCCTTTAGCTAGTCTAAAAGGGTCTAACCACCAGTGGTGGACGTGGGTGTGGAGGCCCACCCTCCACCAGCAGCACAAATATCCCTCCCAGCACAGGCAAGAACACAGCCCTGCACTTGGCACCCGTCCTGGAAATGCAGAACAGGCTCTTTTATTCCAGTCTCTAGGCTCTTGGCTTGTGGGGAACCCTATCCGACTGTGAGGCGCTTTATAGGATTAAAACTGCTTGTGCTGAAGGCAAGTTCTGAAAGGAACTTTGTGCTGTTTCTTTGAGCGGAGCAGCCTGTTAAGGCAGTCTTGTTCCTAAGCCCATAAACACAACATACAGGCAGGATGAAGAGTGCAGTGCGAGCCTCCCTCCTCAGGCTGCCTGCCTGGCAGCACTGCAGGGCTGGACCAGCTGCTCTCAACTGTGACACTTCCCACGGGAGTGTACTTGAGAACTGTACTCTGAGCAGCCTGTTTTCTGACAGGCTTTGGACATACACACCCTGCTTAGAATCCCAGGCAGACCCCAGAGCACTTAATGGAACAGTGCATTACACAAGGGAGGGTTTCTGAAGTAAGGGAATAAGGTAAATATTGCATGTGGTCAAAAATACCAATGAAAAATACTGGGGGAAGGGGAACAGTATTGGGATTTGAACTTAAGATCTCACGCTTGTTAGGCAGACACTCTACTATTGAAGCCACACCTCCAAGCCTTTATTTTTTTTTCTCAGTTAAATTATTTTTCAGATACACTCTCACATTTTTACCCAGGCCAACCTCATACTATGGACCTCATGCCTATACTTCCTATATAGCTGAGATTAAAGGTGTGACCTACCACACCTGGCTATTTGAGACTATTTTGCCCAGGTTGGTCTCAAACCACAGTCATCTAAATCTCTACCTCCTGAGCAGCTGAGATTATATGTGTGAACTCTCATATCTGGTCTTGAAGCTTATATGTACCCAAAGTTGCCAACTTGAGTTTACAAGGTTTTTTCCCATCAAAATATAGGTACTTGAATACCAGAATCCTATTTAGGGGCATGAATCAGGCTAGCAGAAGCTTAGAAGAACCAGATCACCTTAGGGGATTCCATATTCCCATGTTTTCATAGTCATTTTGGAGCTTATGCCTTTTGCAGACTTCAGATCAAATAGCTTCAGATCATTAGCATTCTGTGTGTGTGTGTGTGTGTGTGTGTGTGTGTGTGTATTGTCTCCGCCTGCATGTATAGTGGGAAAGCCTTAGGTTGCTGTGTATATGTAAGGTTAGAAGGCAGAAAAAGCATGTTCTAAAAGAAAATGTAGGACTGGGAAGGTGGCTCAATAGTACAGTACTTGCCTTGCATGCATGAGGCCCTGGGCTCGATTCCTCAGCACCATATAAGTAGAAAAAGCCGGAAGCAGTGCTGTGGCTCAAGTGGTAGAGCACTAGCCTTGAGCTGAAGAGCTGAAGGACAGCGCCCAGGCTCAGAGTTCAGGCCCCACGACCACCACCACCACCAACAAAAGGAAATGTATATGGATAACAAAATATATATCCATATCATTCAATATGGCTTTTCTTTATAATTGTAGTAAAACTTGATATTTCTTAGGATTTATGGTCCTGGGGATACTGCAGGAATCAGCCACACTCATGACTGTGGGACTTTGCTGGGACTTTTCATCGAGAGCTGTAAATATATTTTTCAACTGAAGATCAAGGCCCAGCAATCAAGTTTCACTAGGGATCAGAGCTCATTCTTGAACTGGCGAGATGGTCAGAGTGTCCTAGTTGAGAGGGTGGGTCTGTGCCAGTTATAGTCTTGGGTTTTGTTAGGAGCTAGCCTGGACTGTGGTCCTTATATTTTATTCTTCCTGTCTAGTTAGGATTACAGCATGAAGCACTATGTCTGTCTTGTTGATTGAGATAGAGATCTTACTTTGTGCCCCTACAAGCCATGAATCATGACACTCCTAATCTCTGTCCCCAAAGTAGCTTAGATTATAGGTCTGGGCCACCACTCAGGACCTCCCTGTCCACCACCCTCTTTGGCGCTGGGAATTGAACCCAGGGCTTCACCACTATTAGCATGCTCTGTTACCGAGGGCCCCCCCTTACCCCAGCCTACTGCAACTATTTTTAAACCAAGTCCAACACATGGGACATCTTGCAACACCACACCCATAGCTGAGTGGCATTCCTAAGGAGGAAAGTTTATGTAAGCTCACCCTATGGACGGCTATTCCCACTGCCTTGTGGTTTTTTTGTTGTTGTTTGTTTTTGTTTACTATCCAGACAGAGACTGCTGCAAGCACCTTTCCCTTGGTCCGTGGTTCTCTAGAAAGGATCCCAAAAGGTGTGGCAGGGCAGGGCCATGGCTGCCCAGCTGTGGACTGGAAACAGACCCTTCTGGTTGCCCTTCTTTGTGTCAGGCTGCCTCTTACCCTCCTTCTTGTATTCTGGAGAGGGTGCAGGGTGTGGATCTAGAGGGCCCTGCGGGGGTGGGGTGGGGGGAAATGTTTTGTGTCCCGATTGTGGAGATGTCTACGAAGGTGTGTGTCAGAGCTCCGCGATTGCACACTTACAATAGGTGCATTTTACTCTTTGGACTATTACTCCAATCATTTTTTGTTTTAAGTGCCTGTCGTCTGACCTGGAACTGAGGCAAAGCGCCTTTGAGCTGTTGTTCCTGCCGTGGCTTGCGCCGCGTCCCCCTTGGTACCCGCCGCCGTCTCTTCCACCGGGGAAGAATGAGCAGAGGTGTCGGGCGCAGGGGGCGACCCGGCCCGGCCCGTATTCGCCCGGGGGCGTTTCCAACCCGCCTAGTGGGCGGGGCTACGAGCGGCCCGCCCCGGCCCCGCCCCCGCCGGGCCGCCTGGCGTGAAGCTGGCTGGCTGAGTCAGAGCTCGCCTGGCCGCAGCCCGGCACCGTGGAGCTGGGATCCCCTTTCACTTGGGAGTTTTGTGGTCGCCTGGGATCAGCGGTGACATCCCAAAGGGCAGGCCCGGCAGCCGCCATGGTGGCCAAGGATTACCCCTTCTACCTCACAGTCAAGAGGGCCAACTGCAGTCTGGAGGTCCCCCTGGGCAGCGGCGTGACCAAGGACGCCGAGGTAGGGCGCCCCCCACCCGGTCTCTCCGGACTCCCCGGCCGGCCGGTCCTTTGCTACACCCCGCAAGCTCCTGGAGCCCTCTGGGTCCCGGGATCGCTCTCTTCCCCACTCACTCCGGGTGCTGATGGCTTTCTCTCTTCCCCCCTCCCCTCAGTGTGTGCCCTTCGTCGTCCCTGACCCGGTCTCTCGGTTTCCTCTCCCTTGTCTGTGGGTTGAGCACGGGCTGCCTCCCCTGTCCCTGTCCCTGTCCCTGTCCCTGTGCTGCGGGGCCGGGAGCAGCGCCTGATTGCTGGTTCCTTCCTCTCCTGCACAAGCCAGTCTAGCGGGGGGCTGGCTGAAGGTGAACCTGCTGCCTAGACCATAAGCCAGGACTTCCCTCTGCAGATATCAGGAAGAGCTAACCATTTAAGCAAGTCTTTCCTCTTGGGGGGGTCAGAAGGAGGTCATTGGGGACCAGTGCAGATAGCTCACCTGCCAGACTTGGCCTGGCAGTAAAGACAGGACAAGCACTTATTATCCATGTCACCTGTGGCTAGTCTGTGTGGGAGGGAGGGGTCACTTACCTCCAGGGTTGGAGCTAAGTGTATCATTTGAGTGTCTCCCAGATGGGAGAATTAAACTCCAGTGGGTAGGAAGCTGCTTTGGAAATGATAAAAGTATTTCCCCTTAAGGGAACTTTCCTGTGCCTTGAGGGTATGGTGAAGGCCTCCGGAGCAGTTAGTGCTCAGTTGACCTTTTCTTCCTGGATGTTATTTCTCTGGCAAATCCCACTGCCCTTAAAGGTAGATTGGGTTCCGTTGGTGGAGAAGGCTTCGTTGGATTTCACTACATCACAGCTTTGTTAGGTCCAAGCTATGGTGGAACCCACAGGACCCAGCTCATCACTGCTGGTCATATGTGTACCTGAAAGAGTGTGTATGTATACACAGAGATTCATTGCTGACAGGAGTCCAGTCAGTTTCTGGTAGACTCAGTTGAGTGCAAACTAACTTCTCAACACTTCTCTGCTCAACACTTAAGTTCAGTTGAATATTTTCACATAGAGATTTTGTTCCCAGTGGCTGTTGGGAGTGTAGTGGTTTCTAGTGGCATTTAGATTTGTATTTAAGGTTGCACCAATTGGTGCCTGCATAGAATTCAGGTTGATCAGTCTCAGAATGGACATCATGACTTCTCTATGGAAACTTCCATATTTTAATGAGTGGAGGAGTAATAGTGCCCCTTCAAACTCCTTCTGTCTGGAAGGAAGAAAAGCACAGCCAATTTAGTGAGCAAGTAGAAGCTGGCAAAGAAATGGATAATGAGACTAGCTCTGGGGTCTACCAGTCCTTTTTTTGCTCTTACTGGATCCTGTATTTTTGAATAGCTTATCTAAGAGCATATGTGAATTCAGCTATTTTAATCTTTCCTTGTTGTCAAGTGTATATACATGTGTAGATCTCAAGTGTTCTGAAACATAATACCTCAAGGGCCAAATATTAATTTTTCTCCTTAGTAGCTAGACCCAGAAGATAAGATACGGCTCCTTTTCCATTTTTGTGAGGATGTCCTTGTGTGAGAGTACGGATGGGCATTGGATGTGTTTTGGCGGTAGTGGTTAAATATTATTCAGGTACATCGTTGAGGTTTTTAATCATAGTAAAATATGCTTTGTACATTTTGAGGTAGAGACATCTCTTGGCTTCATTAATTCAGTATAAACTCCCTTCTGATAATAGAGAGAGGCAGAGTTGGGAAAAGAAACCTAACTGCATTTCAGGGGAAGTTTCCTGGTTTTGTTGTGAGCACAAAAGGCAACCAACCAACCTTTGCAGGCCTAGCTTTTTGGTAAGCCTTTAACTAAAATATATTTTCTACCAGTAGGTGTCAGCAGTATTTGTAGATGTTTAAACAAAAACAGCATTCACTTATCTGCCTTTTGAAAAACACGATTATATCATTCTTTATGCACATTGACTATGAATTCTCCAGAAAATAAAAGATTGACAGCTCTCTTTGTAGAAAGGAGAATCAGAAGAAGAAGAAAACAAGGTTTATTCACAGACTTTTGCAGAATAACAGGGCTTTGACCTTCAAAGATACTTGCAGTATCTCCCGGAGTACCTGCCCCCAGACTTGCAGTGACTGTTCCTTCCAATGTGTAGAGGCAGGATAGTGCCAACAAGGTCCTTGTAGCATGGGTCCCCCAGGACTAGTATGCTGGGAAAAGTGAACAGTGAGAAGGCAATAATGTGCATTCAATGCCATCCACTTGGGTAAAAATCATGCAGTTTTTTTTCTCTTAAAAGCAAATCATAAAAGTCCTACTAGGAATTTAATTTAAATACTTTCTTTTTTGTTTGTTTTGGTGTTAGTTCCCAGTGAAAGCAAAAAAAAATGATAGATGTTTAAATGTTATCTTTATTTTCTTTAAAGGAAGTATCTTTTGAAAATATCTTATGTAGATTACACAGTGTATATGTGATATTTTTTGTCTGTTAATCCAATGCTGCTTCATAATCTGATGTTTCTTAGGACATAGATGTATGGGTTGATCTCATATGTTTAATAGTAATACCTGTAACTAGCTAGATCCTTCTGGCTCTAATCATTAACCATGAAATCTAAGGAGCTTAGTATTTAGCTGTGGATTTTCACAGAGAAACTCGGTATGATGTGAACATTGTCCAGTTTACTTCTTTTAATCATTAATATAGCTTTGCTCAGCTTATGTTTTCATATTATCGGTTGCTCATTTTTCATACCCAGAGGGGTATGAAAATACCCGATCAGTTCCCTAAAAGAGAAACTGTTAACATCATTCATTAAGAATCACTATTTTCCCCATGGTGAAGTTTGCTTTTTTTAAAAAGAAGTCTCAGCTGAGCAGACACCATGGTTAAGGAAGCTAGAGCCTGGAGAGAAGCTTTGAAGAGTTTTCATGAAAATCCAATAGGCACTTCTGTCATTTTTAAAGCTATAATAACAACTTGATGAGCAATTCATTCAGCTATAAGAGTTACCATCTTATGCGTGGATCAGGATCAATTCTGATTTGGTTGGTAGTATACGTAGCCATTGTCTTGACTCCCTGTGATTATAAAAAGTTGTAGCATGCCATTCACAGGTGGCTCATACCTGTAATCCTAGCTACCCAGGAGGCTGATATCTGAGGACTGCCAAAGCCAGCCGGGGCAGAAAAGTCTGTGAGGCTGTTATCTCCAATAAGCCACCAGAAAACCGGAAGTGGCGCTCTGGCTCAAGTGGTAGAGCATTAGCCTTGAGCTGAAGAGCTCATGGACAGGGCCCAAGCCCAGAGTTCAAGCCCCACAACTGGAAAAAAAAAAGTTGCAGCATGTAGACAACATTTATATATGAATATATGAAGAGTTCAGTATCACCCTGTACTCTAAGGTGTAGATTCTGGTTTAAACTCAGCCAGTATGTTTAACCTGACCCTGGGAATAATAACATGACCTACAAATAAGAGACTTCTCCCTCTTCTCTAATGCTATGTCTAGTGTCACCCTTGAGACCTATGTGCATTATTCTTTCTGCTTTATGAAAAACACCACCAAAGGGAGGGAACTTGCCGAAATACACAAAGAAAATCAGCTTGAGCCAAGATCTAGGGCCAGATTTCCTGGTGGATTTAGTCCAGCATTCAATACTAGTGGCCCTTGTAATATTTAAGGGTATTTACTTCAATGGGAAAAAAGGGAAGAGGGATACAAAACAGACATTTAAAACTTATAATCTAAATATATATTTTCCTTTATTTTTTTAAGTCACAAACACCTTTTAATCTTCACAATGCGAGTCATCATCATCTTAATCTACACAGCTTACGAACTCTATGACCTTTAACTATAAAACTATTTTTTTACAAATCAGGTGATATGTACATTTCTTTCCTTTTGCTTAGTATCAGCTGTTCCTTCCTTCTCATTCCCTCGCTCCCTATAATTTTTTTTGGAGTAGCAAAACTGTTTCAAATTATATTTGTTTACATAGAAGACTTAAAAGCAAGGTATAAAACAAATTTAAATATATGATCTTGAATGCATAACAGAGAAGGTGCCATTGAAGCCTGTGCTACAGGGTAGGGTGAACTTGGTGTTCCAGATGTGATGTATGCCTCATCAGTGAACACATGCATTGGAAAATCACATCCTCCTTGAGCTGTACTTCTTGAATGCCAGCTGGAGAGAGAAAGAGTTACTGGCTTCCAGTAATCTCTACTTTTTTTTTTGGAATCTGCGCCAGTCAGTAATGAATTGCCAATCTATAGGGAGTAACTACAGTAAGCTTCCTAGGATTTCTTTGGAGGACTAAATGAACAGGCCTTATGAATCATGTGACTGCAGAGATCTTTCTGAGTCGAGAGATGCAGAGTTAATCAGGGAATGGGCTATCAATTGCCAGTTGGATCTGATTATGGTCACTGGGCCATTATTCTAGGTGGAAAAGTATCCTGGAGATCATAGAGCTCATGGCTGCACACAAATTAGGGTTGGGTTTGTGAGAAGAAAATACATTGACTTTACACATGATGCACTTATGACTGTTCAGGATATCAACTCTGGAATAAGATTGCCTAGGTTGCAAAGCCATCTCTACCACCTGCTACTGTGACCCTGGAAAAGCCATGATGCTTCTTCTAGACTCAATTTCCTTTTTCACAGTAAATAACTTCTATTTTTTAAAGTAACTATGAATATATAAACAGGCCTGCCTGTAGGACACTACAGTACAGCTGGAAAGAGATATATTTTCCAGTGTGCCTATGGGCCAATGAGTTCTATCATTTTCAAAGAAATTCTAAATAAAAACTTCACTGAGTTGGAAAGTTTTGCTGAAAATACTTCTGGACAACTCCCCCCCCCCAAAAAAAAACACTCATGTTGGAAATAATGATAATCTTACTTCAAGGAGCTTAGTGAAAGTAAGGTGAAATAACACATATGTGTACAGTGTTTAACATAGTGTCTGAATCATAGTCCTTAATAAATATTATCAAG